AGAGACTGACAGAAAAACAGATAAGCAGAGTCAGATAAACAGAGACAGAGCTAGACAGACAGACACATTTATATGCAACAGTGAAAACAAAGCCAAGGCAGTGCACGATCATCAAATGTCACTCCACTGCTGCACGGTCAGCAGTGGAGTGACACTCATCTTACACTGCACTTCAAGGAGGTTCTTATATATTCCAGCGTGTCCAAAACATTGCTGGGACCTATAAATACTTTGTATGTATTTCTAGACATTAGTACATGACCAAGGCAGGTGAAAATGTTCACCTGTCAGTGTGTTTGTGACTATTTGAGTACTATATCAGTAATAATATTAGTGTCAGAACAAACATTGGCTGTGAAATCACAAGAACTACTACAAATTGTAATTACCAGAACATAAAAATTATATAGATAAAAAAAAACGAGAAAAAAAGGTATATTGGTAACACTTCTGCATGCGGCAGGACTCCTTGTTGCCATCAGGTGAGCATCCCGTACCAACTTCGCGGTCTTATATCTCAGTAAGTACTAACCCTAAAACTTTTTTTTGTCTTATTACACACAGAAAATTGCCATATTTAATTTAAACAAAAATTCAAAATATTCGGAGTGTTGGGCAAGAGAACATAGATCTACGTTTGGAAAGTTAAGGGGTTAAAGTCTATTGTATCAAGTGATAACTGTGTTGAAAAATTATCAGTATCAGTATTGGTATCAGTCTGAAACTGAGTTTTGTCATGAGTAAAGCTATTGTTATGGTCCCTCCCTCCCTGGTGGTAGGTGATATTGGGTGCCACATGTTTGTACAGGTATTGTACATGGCTACATTAATCTTCATTAACTTGCATATCAACAAGGAACATCAACCAGATTTTAATGTTAGTCAAAATGTCTTCTCTTGACTTTTTTTAGCCTTTTTTTTTTAGCTTTTTTTTTAAGTTGTTTGCTGTTTTTTGAAGGTCCAGGAACATAACTCTGTTTGTCCCATATGCTCTTCACTTTGATTAATGCTAATTTGAGTAAAGCGATGATTCTCAAGAATGTAGCCACTACAGTGGACCCCCGCATACCGTTGGCCTTACATAACGTTAAATCCACATACCGATACATTTTATGCTAAGATTTTGCCTCGCATACCGCTAAAAAACTTGCTCAACGCTGTTCGTCCGAGACGCGTCTAATGTGCGGCCTTAGCCAGCCTCACATGTTCCGCCGGTGGCATTGTTTACCAGCCAGCCTCCGCGGTAACTTCCAAGCATACAATCGAAACATTTCGTATTATTACAGTGTTTTTGGTGATTTTATCTGCAAAATAAGTGACCATGGGCCCCAAGAAAGCTTCTAGTGCCAACCCTACAGGAATAAGGGTGAGAATTACTATAGAGATGAAGAAAGAGATCATTGATAAGTATGAAAGTGGAGTGCGTGTCTCCGAGCTGGCCAGGTTGTATAATAAACCCCAGTCAACCATCGCTACTATTGTGGGCAACAAAAAGGCATCAAGGAAGCTGTTTTGCCGAAGGTTCAACTGTGTTTTCGAACAGAGATCGCAAGTGATGGAAGATGTTGAGAGACTCTTATTGGTGTGGATAAATGAAAAACAGATGCAGGAGATAGCATTCTGTCAAGTGATCATAAGTGAAAAGGCTAGGAAGTTGCATCAGGATTTAATTAAAAAAATGCCTGCAACTAGTGATGTGTGAGTGAATTTAAGGCCAGCAAAAGGTTGGTTTGAGAGATTTAAGAAGCGTAGTGGCATACATAGTGTGATAAGGCATGGTGAGGCTGCCAGTTCGGACCACAAGCAGCTGAAAATATGTGCAGGAATTCAAGGAGTACATAGACAGTGAAGGACTGAAACCTGAACAAGTGTTTAATTGTGATGAAACAGGCCTGTTTTGGAAGAAAATGCCAAGCAGGACCTACATTACTCAGGAGGAAAGGCACTCCCAGGACATAAGCCTATGAAAGACAGGCTTACTCTGTTGATGTGTTCCAATGCTAGTGGTGATGCAAAGTGAAGCCTTTATTAGTGTATCACTCAGAAACTCCCAGAGCGTTCAGGCAAAATAATATCCTCAAGGCTAATTGTGTGTGATGTGGAGGGCAAACAGTAAGGCATGGGTCACTAGGACTTTTTCTATGATAGTTACACCATGCATTGCCCCAATGTGAAAGATTACCTAATGAAAAGAAATAGACTTAAGTGCCTCCGGTGTTAGGACAATGCCCCTGGTCATCCTACTGACGTGGCAGAGCGATCTTTATGGGGACATGAGGTTCATTAAGGTGAAGTTTTTGCCTCCTAATACCACTCCTCTCCTGCAGCCCATGGACCAGCAGGTTATTGCAAACTTCAAAAAACTGGACACAAAAGCTCTGTTTGAAAGGTGCTTTGTAGTGACCTCAGAAACTCAACTGACTCTTAAGAGAGTTTTGGAGAGATCACTTTAATATCCTCAATTGTGTAAACCTTATAGGTAAGGCTTGGGAGGGAGTGACTAAGAGGACCTTGAACTCTGCTTGGAAGAAACTGTGGCCAAATGTGTAGACCAAAGGGATTTTGAAGGATTTGAGGCTAACCCTGAGAGGAGTATGCAAGTTGAGGAATCAATTGTGGCATTGGGGAAGTCCTTGGGGTTGGAGGTTAGTGGGGATGATGTGGAAGAGTTGGTGGAGGAGGACAATGAAGAACTAACCACTGATGAGCTGCTAGATCAACTTCAACAGCAAGAGGCCAGACCTGAGGAAACTGGTTCGGAGGAGGGGAGAGAGAAATTGAAGAAGTTGCCTACTACAAAGATTAAGGAAATCTGTGCAATGTGGCTGAAAGTGCAAACCTTTATGGATGAAATCACCCTCACACAGCTATTGCAAGCCGTGCTGGTGACTATTACACTGACAATGTTGTGAAACACTTTAGGGAAGTCATAAAGGAACGAGAGGTACAGGCCACTATGGACAGATATGTTGTGCGACAGAAGTCCAGTGACTCTGAAGCTGGTCCTAGTGGCATTAAAAGAAGAAGGGAAGTAACCCCAGAAAAGGACTTGACACCTCAAGTCTTAATGGAAGGGGATTCCCCTTCTAAACACTAAGACCCTCTCCTCCTCCCATCCCATCAATCATCACCAGATCTTCAATAAAGGTAAGTGTCATGTAATTGTGCATGCCTTTTTCAGTTTGTGTGTATTAAAATTAATATTTCATGTGGTGAAAATTTTCTTTTTTCATACTTTGGGGTGTCTTGCACGGTTTAATTTGATTTCCATTATTTCTTATGGGGAAAATTCATCCGCATAACGATAATTTCGCATAACAATGAGCTCTCATGAACGGATTAATATCGTTATGCGGGTGTCCACTGTATATTACTCAGGGTTCTACTGTACCAGGGGCTTGTTGATATACAGTAGACTATCATTTAGCATGAGTTTATTTGGCATGATTTGAGTATAACACGATTGAAGAATTGGGCACAATTTTATGTAACATGTTGTAAAATTAACTTAACATGGTTCAGTTTGCGGGAAGGAAAAAAAAATCCCTTTTCCTCAAGCGGCTGCCTTGTGGATCAGCAGAGAAGGCCTCCCAGCATCCCCTGCCACTCCCCGACACCACCCCACCATCCCAGCATTCATACTTCATAAGCGTCCAGTCTGCTACAAGCTAGCTCTGTTTGTGAATTGTGTTTTGATCTTTTAATTACTATATCTTGTATCTGGCAAGCAATCATGACATCCAGTAGGCATACCATTGTTGCTGAAAGTGGCAAGAAAAAGTATAACCATTTAAGTCTTAGAATTTACAAAGAAAACAAAGATATTAGACAAGAAATAACCTGTGGCATAATGAAGTGTTAATTTGTACACACAAAAAGAGGTAAACATAAGTTTGTGTGACTGGCTGACTTACTGAATGACTGACTTACTGAATGCCTTGACTGACTTACTGAATGACTTGACTTACTGACTTGACTGACTGACTTATTAACTGAATGACTTGACTGATTGACTTATTGATTTGACTGACTGACTTGACTGAATGACTTGTCTGACTGACTGACTTACTGATGACTTGACTGAACTGAACTTGACGACTGACTTACTGACTTGATGACTGACTTACTGACTTGACTGACTGACTTACTGACTTGACTGACTGACTGATTTACTGACTTGACTGACTGACTGACTTACTGACTGACTGACTTGACTGAATGATTTGAATGACTTACTGAATGACTTGACTGACTTACTGAATAACTTGACTGACTTACTGAATGACTTGACTGACTTACTGAATGGCTTGACTGACTGACTTACTGGCTTGACTGACTGACTTACTGACTTGACTGACTGATTTACTGACTTGACTGACTGACTGAATGACTTGACTGACAGACTGACTGAGTGACTTAAAGTTAGACACTCCAGTACAACCATCAACCTCAGTACCAGAACCTCTACCATCCACCTCAGCCCAGTAGGACCACAACATAACTCTCCACTCTCTTCACAATCATCCACAAACACCAGCACCCACAATTTAAGGTAAGAAATATTATTTCTGTTATATTTGTTGTCTTAAAGAGTAAAAACAACATAATACACGAACATAAAAAACAACATAATACACGAACATAAAAACAACATAATACAATGAACTACAATAACATATTCACTCTTATTTTTGTAAAATGTGGAGGCCTAAAAAAAAGTTGTTTAGCTTTTTTGGGGCTCTCAGGAGCGTAACCCTATTTTTCCCATAAGTTCTCCAGTTCATCTGACACAGTTTTACCTAACATAGCATTTTCAGGAACATAACTACCGTGTTAAATGATGGTCTACTGTATCAGTCATTATAATTTTTTTTTTTAATGGCATCTAGTCCACATAAAACTTGTTGATCTGTCAATAATTAGTGATCTTTTTTCAACAACAGCATCAGGTCTACATAAAACTTATTGGCCTGTCAATAATTGTTGATATTTTTCATCAGCAGCCTCATCGAAGGCATCAAGTCTACGTGCTCGATTTGAAACCTTAGCTGTAAGCCAAGAAGATGAAAGAAGGAAACAAGCAGAAGAAGAAAAGAAGAAGCGCTATGAAGGTGACGCAGCCATGATTCAGAAGGAGAAGATGAGAGTGATGCACCAGCAAGAAGAAGAAGAAGAGAGACTCAGGAAGCGCAATGAAGAAGAAGAGAGATTACGAGAGAAGAGGAAAGAGCTCGTGCTGCAGCAGCAGAGAGAACTGGAGATGGAAAGTCAACTCAAGGAACAGCCTTATATTCCACCCAAGGAGCAACCTCATGTCCCACCCAAGGAACAACTTGATGTCCAGCCCAAGGAACAACTTGATGCTCATCACAAGTATGTTGTCATCTCTCACTCACTCGAGCTTAATCTATGTTAAATTACTATCTTTGGTAATCATTATTTTTTGTGTGTGCTATTGTTCACCAGTTACAATAGTTACCTGTCAAGCCTGCAACACTGGTAGCTTTACCTAGATAGCTATGCTTTTACAGCTACAAAAATAGAGGTAAAGCTCATGGTACCCCATCTTAGTAGTCAGTCTGTAATCAAATTTTTCAGCATTTCCAGCTGTAGCAGTTACTGCCTCCTCTGTCTGTCTCTGTGTTGTAGCGGTTACTTCCGCTGTCTGCCTGTGTTACAGCAGTTACTTCCTTCTCTATCTGTCTGTCTGTGTGAATAAAAACATTTTGATGGCCTCCTGTCAGGTCTTTTTCTTTTATCTCTTCTTCTTCTCCATGTTTATGATGTTCGGAAGTCTTCTTTATAAGAACATAAGGAAGAAGGAACGCTGCAGCAGGCCTACTGGCCCATGCGGGGCAGGTCCACGTCAACCTCGGGCTTAGACCAATGGCCCACCCAGTCAGGTCACCTCCACTTAAGGAAGGAGCATGGCATCTGACCCACCAGCACCACCTAGTCAGGTCCAACTCACACCCACCCTTACCCATTCATGTATTTATCTAACCTGTTTTTAAACCTACACAACATTTTAGCTTCTATGATGGTACTCGGGAGTTTGTTCCCCTCATCCACAACTTATTATCAAACCAGTGCTTTCCTATATCCTTCCTGAATCTGAATTTTTCCAGCTTAAAACCATTCCTGTGAGTCCTGTCAAGGCTAGATATTTTTAGCACATTAATTACATCCCCTTTATTCATTGCTGTTTTCCATTTATACGCCTCGATCATATCCCCCCTAATTCTATGCCTTTCTAGAGAGTGCAGATTCAGGGCCCTCAGCCTATCCTCATAGGGAAGATTTCTGATACATGAGATCAACTTTGTCATCCTCCTCTGTATGTTTTTCAGTGCACTTATATCCATTCTGTAATACAGTGATCAGAACTGTGCAGCATAATCTAAATGAGGCCTAACTAAGGATATATGGAGTTAAAGAACAACCTGAGGATTTCTATTATTTATGCTTCTTGATATGAAGCCAAGGATTCTCTTAGCTTTATTGCGAACACTAATGCACTGTTGTCTTGGTTTCAGATTACCGCTAACCAGAACTCCTAAACCCTTTTCGCAATCAGTAATATTAAGATCTACATTATTTAGTTTATATGTGGCATGGTTATTATCCTTTCCAACATTTAGAACTTTACATTTGTCTATATTAAACTGCATCTGCCACTTCTCCGACCATTGCATCAGTCTATTCAGATCATCCTGGAGTGCTCTAATGTCCTCATTAGAATGAATTGGACTGCCTATTTTGGTGCATCAGCAAATTTGCTTATGTCGCTATTTATTCCCTCATCTATGTCGTTTATGTAAATTGTGAACAACAACGGGCATAAACACTGACCCCTGAGGAACACCACTTGTGATGTGCCCCCATTCTGATTTCTCCCCATTTATGCAAGCTCTGCTGCCTATTTGTCAACCATGCTTCTACCCAGGAAAAAATTTCTCCTATTCCGTGTGCCTTAAGTTTCCTCAATAGCCTCTGATGTGGAGCTCTATCCAAAACCTTACTAAAGTCCATATACACAATATCATATTCAATACCATGATCTACCTCCTCAAATACCTTAGTGAACAAAGTTCGTAAATTCGTAAAGCCGGGTTGAGAATCATTACTCAATTTATGCCTTTCAAGATGGCTACGAATTGCCTCGGCAATTACTGATTCCATAAATTTTCCCACTATGGAGGTTAGGTTTATTAGTCTTCAATTTGAAGCTAAGGACCTGTCACCTGCCCTGTAAATAGGTATTATACACCTACCATCCGACTTACGACCTGCTCGACATATGTCCACTCGACTTACGACCGTGCATCTGGCAGCTGGGCTGGGCCAACTGATGCACACCGCTGTACAATATTTGACAATACTCGCGGTGGCAATGCGTCATGCAGGCAGCATCAGTTTGAGTAACCCTGCCCTATCAGCAGCATCATATTGTATTAACTGTACTAACTGGACAGTATATTTCACCATGGCCCCTAAGATGAAGTCTGAATCTTGCACTGGAGATTGTGGCAAGAAAGGCTCTTACTCTCGAACTCTCTATTTGTTTATACTGTTGCACATAAGCCTGTCTGTATCGGTCTGCCTGTGTATCTGTGTCTGTCTGTATCTCTGTGTGTCTGTTTATTTGTCTGTCTACCTGTGTGTCTGTCTTTCTGTGTACCTGTACTCACCTATTTGTACTCACCTATTTGTGGTTGCAGGGGTCGAGTCCTAGCTCCTGGCCCCGCCTCTTCACCGGTTGCTACTAGGCCCTCTCTCTCCCCGCTCCATGAGCTTTATCAAACCTCGTCTTAAAACTGTGTATGGTTCCTGCCTCCACTACGTCATTTTCTAGGCTATTCCTGTGTGTCTGTCTTTATGTCTACCTGCGTGTCTGTCTTTCTGTCTACCTGTGTGTCTGTCTTTCTGTCTACCTGTGTGTCTGTCTTTATGTCTACCTGTGTGTCTGTCTTTATGTCTATCTGTGTGTCTGTCTTTCTGTCTACCTGTGTGTCTGTCTTTCTGTCTACCTGTGTGTCTGTCTTTGTCTGCTTGTCTGTCTCAGAGCCACTCATTAAGAGTGAACTTGGTCTTGAAGATGCCATATTAATAATGATAATAACAATAATAATCACTGAGGCACATTAAATGTGTATAAAACATTAATACTGTATAGACATTTTGCTTAATCCATCTATGATTTTTTTTTTCAAAATTATATAATAAACATGCTACATAACATATAAACATATAAATTAACAAATATGAGATGTTTTTCTGGTCGGCTTGACAGAGTGAACAAAAAACCATTCGTATCCAGGCTGGTAACAACAACAACAACAACGTTTGTTTACATAACTCGTGAACATTCTACACTCTCATTCTCTCTCTCTCGTTTATTCATTTAATCTTGTTCACTCACCTCTCACTCTTTATTTACTTATTTATTTATTAATTTGAACATGATACAGGTTCTCCATCACAAATCCGGCATCATTGGGACCTGTAGTGTGCCAGATTACTGAGTTTGCCGAATTACATAGTGGTTAGGTTAGAATACACTTAATAAAATTATCCAACTTGACTTACGCAGTTCATTGAACATCGGCAAAAATCGAACATTTCTGCTACTTTGAGCTCAATTTCAAGGTACTTTTCGTCATGAAAGCAATCAAAATCATGTCTATTTCTGTAATATATCTTCCATTCTATCAAATGAGTCCAAAAAATGAGAATACAACCGTAAAAACCATACGAAAATATACTGCAAAGAGGCAGCTAATGGCTGAGAAGTGAACTCCCTTATTTATCGTCCATCTTTTTTATTTTTGTTGTACGTTAAGAAGCATCTTTCCATCATACATTGCCCAAGTTTCAATGAGATAGCCCAACAAACAACCGAGAAAGAAAAAATTTACCAAAAATCATGTATGGCAAGCCCAAGCCAGGTACTGGAAATAAGTCACTTTGTCTGACTTTTCTGGGTTATCCTAAGTTCTCTATACATACACTGCTATGTGTGATAATCTATGTAACTGTATTTGTGTATACCTGAATAAACTTATTTACTTCTAGTTTGTCAACTGAGTACAAGAAACCGCCCATTCACTTATTTCAACTACCCAATAAAGTGGTCAGAAATTGGCAATTTGGCTGATTTCACACAAATTTCAAGATGCCAATTTCCAAAATAGGGTCCAGAATAAACAATGCAGACATTCCTGGCACTAAAATAACATTTTCTCTGTTCATTAGTCACGGCTACAGGCCCCTCTTATACAGTGGACCCCTGCTTAACGATCACCTCCCAATGTAAGTACGTTTGTACGTGTATGTTTGGGGGTCTGAAATGGACTAATCTACTTCACAATATTCGTTATGGGAACAAATTCGGTCAGTACTGGCACCTGAACATACTTCTGGAATGAAAAAATATCGTTAACCGGGGGTCCACTGTACAGTGGACCCTCGACCAGCGATGGCATTGATTAACAATAAATCTGACTAGCGATACATTTTATCGCAAAAATTTTGCCTCGATTAGCGCTAAAAAACTCGACCAACACTATTCCTTCCGTCTGAGATGCGTCTACTTCTGGCCAGTGTTTACTAGCCAGCCAGCCACCGCGGTCGCTTCCAAGCATACAATCGGAACATTTCATATTATCACAGCCTTTTTAGTGATTGCACCTGCAAAATAAGTCACCATGGGCCCCAAGAAAGCTTCTAGTGCCAACCCTACAGCAAAAAGGGTGAGAATTACTATGGATATGAAGAAAGAGATCATTGCTAAGTATGAAAGTGGAGTGCATGTCTCCGAGCTGGCCAGGCTGTACACAAAACCCCAATCAACCATCGCTACTATTGTGGCCAAGAAAACGGCAATCAAGGAAGCTGTTCTTGCCAAAGGTGAAACTATGTTTTCGAAACTGAGATCGCAAGTGATAGAAGATGTTGAGAGACTGTTATTGGTATGGATAAACAAAAAACAGATAGCAGGAGATAGCATCTCTCAAGCGATCATATGTGAAAAGGCTAGGAAGTTGCATGACGATTTAATTAGAAAAATGCCAGCAACTAGTGGTGATGTGAGTGAATTTAAGGCCAGCAAAGGTTGGTTTGAGAGATTTAAGAATCGTAGTGGCATACATAGTGTGATAAGGCATGGTGAGGCTGCCAGTTTGGACCAAAAAGCAGCTGAAAAATATGTGCAGGAATTCAAGGAGTACATACACAGTGAAGGACTGAAACCTGAACAAGTGTTTAATGGTGACACTGACAATGTTGTGAAACACGTTAGGAATGTCATAAAGGAACGGGAGGTACAGGCCTCTATGGGCAGATATGTTGTGCGACAGAGGTCCAGTGACTCT